TTACCTGCGTTCATGGAAAACAGGCAGGGAATAACCCCACAGGGCGACGGGACAAAAGTAATTGTTTTAAATCTGCAGCTCAAATGCAGAGCCTACAGGACAGTGCGGGGGACACGGGGTGTGCCCCAGCCCCAACTTCCACTCGGATTTGCTCTTGGAGCCCAGACGCTTCCAACGTCTCGTCTCCCCGTCTGTGAAGAAAGGAAGCGCTCTCATACGCTCAAGCGACTCAACCCGTCTTCGGCAGAACGGCAGGGGCGGTCAGAGAAGCCTGGCGCTCCGCCCCCAGGACACCTGTCCTCCCCCGCATCCCCACCAGCCTGGCCCCCGGAAGGAAGCCAGGGGGCAATGCTGAGGCTCAACCAGGTGACCTCGCCAATGCACCTGTGGCACTAAAAGCAGCCTGTGCCTCCAGAGCTGACATCTGCTCTGTTAGCAGACGAGCTGTTACAGGTCAAAGGGCATCGAGTGGGGTCTGGGGTCTCTGCTCTGTGGGTGACTCGGGTGTCCAACAAGGAAGCTGTCTGGACGCTGAGGGGCATCGGCTGCCCCTGTCCGTTCCCAGCATGCCCAGCGCCTACAGACATGCACCGCGAAGATCCGGGCGTGCGGGCAGGCAGGCAGAGATCCGAGAGGGGCGAGGGGTGTGTGGGAAACCGCAAAGGGGAGCCTCAGGCACCGTCCCCACGGCTGTGAGTGCCGTGAGCCGCTGTGAGCATCCCTGCCTCCGGGGACCGATGCAAATCCGAGTGGAAGTTGGGGCTGGGGCGCACCCCGTGTCCCCCACACTGTCCTGTAGGCTCTGCATTTGAGCTGCAGATTTAAAACAATTACTTTTGTCCCGTCGCCCTGTGGGGTTATTCCCCGCCTGTTTTCCATGAACGCAGGTAAAGCCTTGCATGGCGCTTACATACGTGAGTTCCTTTAACAGGTTTGATCTGTATTGCTTCCTCTGTGTTCCTTTTTCACCCCCATTGCCACCCGCCAGGCAGCTGCTGTGTGCAGAGTGTTCCCTCCCCACAGAGTCTGTCCGTGGGAGACAGATAAGCTGGTAAATCCGAAATGAGGGTTATTTAAAACCTGCTAATCTTTTTATTAAATTCAAATTGATTTCTTGAACACGAATTGATTTCTCCCCACCGAGCGGCCCCCACACACCTCCAATCCCCGAGGCCCCTGCTGGGCACGTACCCTAAATACATGTGTTTCCGCCTTATTTCTCCCAATGGCAGCAGCGCGGCCCCGTGCCCCCAGCTTAAGGCCAAAACACAGCTTAGAACCAACACACACAAAACAAAATCCCTCACCCCCGTTGCATGTGAATACTTAAAACTAAATGAGATATGAATTCATTCCTTGCGTGCTTTGCCTAAAGGGAAAAAAAAAATGTTGCTTAGCAACAATTAAGACAAAGTGCAGTGAAGGGGGGGCAGGGTTGAGAGACAGCCGAGTCAGGGAGCCGGTGAGGCCACCCTAGTCCACGGGACCTTTGCCACCCAGGATCCTGGCTGTGTCCCCATCTGGCCCCGAGCAAGGCCTGGCTGGTCCCACACATCCGTCTTCTCCTGACAGAGAAGGCCGCAGCCCAGACACAGGAGCCCGCTCGGGGGCCGGGGTGTCCGTGACATGGTGACGGCCGTCTCCAGCCCATCACAGTCCCAAGCCGCAAGGGGTGCTGGGAAGTCATTTCACTGAACCCGCACTGATCCGACAGGGACACTGGGGCCTGGAGAGGTGAAAGGCTCTCCTGCCCCCGCCTGCCCCCCCCCCCCCCCCGCTCCCCGGGGCTCAGGCCGTGGGCGGCAGACGCTGGCTGGACGCGGGCTCTCAGGGCAGACGGCGCTCCTCGGCCGTCTCGGTTTTCCTGCATCCGCCTCTGCCTGACTCCATGCCGACGGGGACCAGGGAAGTGGGGCGACACAGGAGTACCTCTCGCTCGGTTAGAAGGAGGGCGCTTCTTCTTCGAGTCTCCCCACAAAGCTTCCAGGAGGCCCAAGGCTGAGCCCCCAAGAGTGCAGAGGGGACCGGGAGGTCTGTGCAGGGATGCTGACTGCGCTGAGGGGGACGCTCACCTGCACAGCGGGACACGCTGCCGCCCGTCGCAGCTGGGTGACGTGGGGAGAGAGAGAAAACCCATACACTGTGCACAAAGTGAACACTTACTCCTGTTGGCTCCTGCTGTTCACGATGTGGTCTGCTTCCCCACGAAACCCTGAGGCTCCTGAAAGCCACGGGCCGGGCTTCATGCATCCGGCCGCCTCCGTCCCCGCCCCATCCCCAAGCCCGGGGGCCGGCGGGCCAGAGCAGGGCCCGGAAGCCTCTTGAGCTGCACGTGCATTTTCACTTAGTGCAGCGGTCGGCAAACCAATAGTCCACAGAGCCAAATACCAACAGGACAACGATTGAAATTGCTTTGGAGAGCCACATTTTTTAAACCTAAACTTCTTCTAACGCCACTTCTTCAACATAGACTCGCCCAGGTGGTAGTTTATGAAAGAGCCACACTCAAGGGGCCAAAGAGCCGCATGCAGCTCAGGAGCCTCAGTTTGCTGACCACGGGCTTAGGGATTGCTGTGTGAGAAACCCACCGGATTGGGGAGACTTATCCAGAACACGCTCCGCCTCTCCCCCGTTCACACAGACCCCTGACCGACATCACAGCGCCCCGACCCCTCACCATACCCCTATCCCAGCCTCGGAGTTTCCCTCCAACAGCTGCTCCGTTGAACGAAGTCCTTCCCACAAGCTGACCCCTCTCTAACACGGTGGCATGGGTACGGCAGGCCTGGGACAAGAGTAAGAATTCGGGGCTAAGGTCAGCCTCTTGAGCCAGAGGGAGATGATCCATCTGGAAGAGGGGACCACATGTAAGTAGCAGGAGCCACACCAGAGCTCCTTCCTACACGAGAGCTACTTCCCGGGAGCCCCAGGCCTGTCGCTGCACCACAGCCCTGAGGTCAGGGTGAACGCGGCAGGGGCCAGCCAGCTGGCGAGGTTCAGGGGTTGAGTGTCAACCTAGGAACCAGGAGGTCACGGTTGGATTCCCAGTCAGGGCACAGGCCTGGGTTGTAGGTTAGATGCCCAGTGTGAGGCAGGCAGGAGGCAGCCAATTGGTGATTCTCTCTCATCATTGATGCTGCGCTCTCTCTCTCTCCCTCTCTCCTTCCCTCCCTCCCTCCCTCTCTGAAATCCATAAAGACATGCTTTAAAAAGAAACGTAAAGAAAGCAGCAGGGTCCTGGGACCAGGAAGGGGACTGGCTGAGGGCTCCCTCTTCCCTCCGCTGAAGATGTCACTGCGAGGGGAGGGGCCGAGGAGGGGAGGGGCCGGGAAAGATCCCACAGAGAAAGGAATTCACTAACCACAGAGTTTCTATTCCTGGTTTCGACCAGATGTCTGCCTTCTCTGCTCTTTCGGGTCTTGGGCTCAGCCAACACCAGCCAGGGAGGAGAGAGACCCTGCCTCACCTTCCGCAGGCCGGGGCCCCGAAAGTGCCACCGCAACCCATGACCCAGGAACCCGGATCCTTCCGCACCTCCGCGCTCCTCCTCCCCCGGGACCGAGGCGCTCCGAGCTGAACTGCGCGGTGACGCAGAAGCCTTGGCGGACAAGAAACAGGCGTGCGGCCAGGCCCTTCTGCACACGCAGAGGGGCAGCGGCACAGCCAGGGAATTGGGGAAAAAAAAAAAAGCAATTCCTTAGAAATGTGCTTTTAGCACAAAAAAGCAACTGCATCTATTAGCTATCCCCGCTATCCTACCAGCTCTCCCTCGCTGAGCGAGGCTCGTGAGCTGAGAGCTCTGGCTCCGAACCTGTACGGTCGGCCATCCTGTCGCCCCTGCAGGGAGGGAGCCGCTCTCCCCAGCTTACGGGGAGGAAAGCACCCGGAGAAAGTCACCCATCGAGTCACTGGCCTGCGCACGCAAACGGTGGGCTTCCGATCTAGGCCCCTGGGGCCAGCTGCACGCCCCGACGCAGGAAAGCATCTAAGTCACCAAGGAAACATCGTCCAGTTCTCCTCCTGTCACTAAGCAGCCACCGGACTTGGCCTGTTAAAGGTAAACTGAGGCACGCCTGCTCCTCGTAGCAGGGAGAGCTCTGTGGCTGACAGGCAGGAGCGGCGGCTCCAGGCTCTCACCTCCTCATCACGGAGGAAGGCTGGAGGCCGCGGAGGGGCCTGCCCCCGGCCTGTCGCCCACTCTCTGTTCCAACCAGCTCCCAGGGGAAGACGTGCCAACGGCCTCGAGGCCATGGAAGCAGCCAGCACCCACCTCTCTGCCCCGGAACTGCTTTCCGTGTTACCCGAATGCCTTTCATTCAAAAACACCAGCGCCTAAGCCACCTACAAGAACCTCCAACGCAGACGCTGTAACGTGCGAACGGCCAGGCGTGGGTTGGTCAGGCCCTGACCCGGGCCCTCGCCTTCCCGGCTGCCGGAGCCACTCGGGAGCCTCGAAAGGCTCCCTGATCAAACCCCGACCACCACGAAGACAGCCGCGATGTTTTCCGCCAGCTCCGGCACCAGCTCCACGGCAACCCTCGTGGGACTCACGGAGCCGCCTCCCGAGACACCGGGTGCAGGAGGCCTGGCGGAGAGTGCCCGCCTGTCCCTCCAGAACGCCTCGTCCAGGTTGGGGGTGGAAGGGCACCAGAGGGCCCCTCTCCCCACAGCAGCAAGGTCTGCCCAAGTCACATGCTTCCTGTGGCCAATACAGGAGCAACCGCCGGGGGACGGCCGCCCGCCGCTGAGGCCTCAACCGGACCCGGGGCCTCCCCACCGCACGCAGGACAGGGGGAGACCTCATAAACGCCACCCCATCCTGGCCCGACCTTCCTCACGCCCGCTCAGGTCAAAAGCTCTGAATGGAAATCAGGCTTTTAAAGATATACGTAAGTAGACCCACAATTGCTTAAAAAAAAAAAATACACACGTGCACATGGCAGCGCAGTTTGTACGCTTTCCAGGGAGGACGCCGCCCTCCCGGGGAGCTGGCCGCTTACCTCTGAACTTCTTGGGCGGGTTGTTTAGGTCTCCAGTTTCCGGCTGCACAACACAGCGGTCGTCGACCAGCCTGCAAGAAAATAAAAGAAAAGGTAAATGCTACGTCACGACCAGTCTAAAAAAACAGAACCCTGAGCACTCCGCAAAACTCCAACAGCCACGCCCACCAGTGTGGCTCAGGGGTTACGTGTCCTCCTGTGAACCAGGAGGTCAGGGTTCAACTCCTGGTCAGGGCACATGCCCGGGTTGTGGGCTCCATCCCCAGTAGGGGGCATGCAGGAGGCAGCCGATCCACGATTCTCCACGATTCTCCCTCGTCCTGGATATTTGTATCCCAAAACAGACGCCACATTCCCGGGGGGTGGAGGGTCCCCTGCAGGCACGGAAACCTGCCCCAGCAGCCCCTGCTCCTGCCCGTTTTCCGTGGCTCCTTCCTCCTGACCACGTCCAGGATGTGTGCTGCCCCCTGCACTGCCCCCGCCCCCTGCCTGTGACCATGAGCCTTAGACTCTACCCCCTGCTACAGGGGGGAGGGGAATGGTGACAGAGTCTGAGCGACCCAGGATCTGGTGCTCGTGGAGAAGCCGAGGAGCATGTGGCATCCTCCCGCAGCGAAACCACAGCTCTAGCCGCCGCCCCGCTGCCCGGACAGAGGCGGCCACAGGAGAAGCTGTGCTCTTACCCCAGCGTGCTGATGAAGCCATTGGTCGATCCCTCCGCGTACAGAGAACAGATGTCCCCGATGTGCAGGAAACTTGACATCTTGTCCGACATGTCTTCTTGAAAACCCTAGACACGGCAAAACAGGCCACGTGATTAAAGAAAGAAGAAAATTAACTCCAACCGCTCCGTTCTCCACAGCGTGGCCGCAGGCGGCCATATTTCCCCGGGCATTACTGACGTTCGTTCGGCCTGGCTCTCCCACGGCCACGCCCGGCCCGGTCTGGCCCCGAGGACCCTTGCTGTCAAACCGCCACTGAGGCCGCAGGGGCCTCGGCCTGAAACCCGAGCAGCAAAGTGAGCCAACAGGGTGACACCTGGTGACAGGCTCCACGAGGCGCGGGCGGCCTCCGCAGAACCCCAAGCCTCCAGGGGCACGTTGGTGTCTTTCCTTCCCATCCTCCACCAGAAGCGCCCGGCGCTCCCCGCACCCGCCCAGCAGGTGAGAGGAATAAGGCTCGGGTGTGGGAGCCGGGGTCGGGCGTGCACCCGGCGAATTCAGGCAGTCCTAGAAATGGCTCATAAGCTCCAGGAAATCTCTGCAGCCCAGAAATCACCCCCCCCACCCACACACACACACATGCACATGCACACGCACACGCACACCAACAAAAACACGGGCCTGACTCATGGGAACAGCCATAAAGACCGAGGAGTGGGAGCCAGCTGGTTATAAAAAGCTGAGCTGGCATTGAAAAACGAGTCATTTCTGTGGGAAGATGGGGCGCTGCTGTGCCTGCAGGTGACCCCCTCGTGTCCCCGCAGGGAACCAGACCTCCCCAGGCCTTTCCTGCAAACCCAGACCCCGGAGCCCCGCCCCACGCCTGCCCCCCATTTCCCCCCACTCAGCAGAGCCGAGGACGGGACGGCCGATGGCGGGGGCCCTCTCCTGGAACTGCCTTCCAGGGGCCACGCTGCCTTCCCAGGAGAATTTCGAGGCACCCTTCTTGGGGAGCACCCTTCTCCCCGGCAGGAGCGCGAGGCCCCTTGAAGAAGCCGATCCGATCCACACGTGTGCAAAGCACAAGGAACAAGCCGCCTACCCAGCACCACCCTCAGGGTCTGGAAGGGGGTGTGAGCCCATGAGGGGCTGATGCTTACTGCTCCTCGGCCCCCACAGCCTGGCCAGCCCACCCCCCCTTCCCGCGCCCCCCAGGCCTGCGGAGGGAGCCCCTTGGAAGGGATGATGGTTCAGTGCGGAGACCCCTCCACGCCGGGGCCAAGACAGCTCCCGAACAAGCAGTCTGTTCACTCCGTGCTTAGCAGCTCGAGAGAAGTTTTCGGGGGTTTTTTTTTCTTTTGCTAAAAGCTTCGGCTGCGGCAGAAACCTCACTTATAATTTTCCCATCCATTTCTCCCGCACACACTTAACTAATTGCATTATATTCATTTTTCTAAAAAAGAAAAAAAAAATCTCTACTTTCGCCCACACACAATTCGGGATTTAAAAGTTAGCAGCTCCTGGGAGAAGACTAAATTAGAAGCCTTATTACCGAGAAGTCACCTAAGGTGCCGCCGTCCACCGAGGCGGACGCCAGGCGGGAACACAGGGCTCGGCGGACGCCCAGCCCGCGGACGGACAGAGATGCAGGCACAAGGTTTTCACCGACACGCGGGAGCCGGCTCCGTTTCGTTCCAATGAGGCCGCCTGGCCCGGGCGCTGCAGTCTGACTGCTGGTGATGGGGGCACAACCACTGCCCTCACTTTAGGCCCTGCCAAGCACTGCTGTCAGGAGCCAAGGACGCAGCCACGCTGCCCCCCCCCCACCAGCACCCCCCACCCTCCCCACTCCCACCGCTGTGCACCATTCAGGCACTGCTTACCAATCTCCCATGCATTTCTGCACCCAATTGCCTCACCTTTGACCATTTTTATTTTATTTTAACTGATTTCAGAGAGGAAGGGAGAGTTCTCTGGGGCCCTGGAGAATTGGTAAGCAGGTGAAAGGCTCCTGAGACGCAAAGGTCTGGCGCTGGCTGCGTGTGTAGGTCTCACGTGCCTAAACGTGAGAACTTGGCTGGAAGAGGACTGAAATGCAAAATGTACAGCTGACCGGCCAGGGCTTTCGAGGCAGCCCCTCAATGTGAACCCCAAATCCTCCTTCTCAGTCAACGCATTTAGTGAGCACCTACTAGGTGCGGCCCCTCCTCCGCCCAAGGTCCCTGTTCTCAGGGCACCTGCATTCTGGTGACAGCGCACAGACAGCCAACAGGCCTAGCAGGCGAGAGCATCAGATAGCAAGAAATACGACCACGGAGATGAAAAGTGGGTGACGTGATTAGCGACACCTTCACCTGGGCTGGCCAGAGAGAACAAGCTGAGACACTGGAGCTGAGGCCTGAAAGTCGAGCTGGAGGCAGTCATGCAGAAAAAGGGGCGGAAGAGCCGTCCGGGCGGGCGGGCACCGCTGGTACAGAGGCCCCGGGCAGGAAGGGGGCGGGAGTCCGGGAAACTCTGCCGGCCTGGGCCGGGGCAGGGCGGGAGAGGAGAAGGGGTCAGAAATGAGAGAAGCCGGGATGGAAGTCTGCCTTTCTCCCCCGTGTGATGGGAAGTTCATGACCTTGACCAAGACGCTTCTCCTCCCTCTGGGCCTCAGTTTCCTCACCTGCAGAATGGGCATCAGGAGGACCTCATGAAACTGTGTTGGAGATCCAATGAGAAAAAGAGACCAAGGGGCTCACTTAGCACACGGGAAGCAGGACTGTTTGCTGTCACTCTATTCTGCTGTTTTTTTATTTTAATCCTCACGCAGCGGTCGGCAAACTGCGGCTCACGAGCCACATGCGGCTCTTTGGCCCCTTGAGTGTGGCTCTTCCACAAAATACCACGGCCTGGGCGAGTCTATTTTGAAGAAGTGGCGCTAGAAGAAGTTTAAGTTTAAAAAATGTGGCTCTCAAAAGAAATTTCAATCATACTGTTGATATTTGGCTCCGTTGACTAATGAGTTTGCCGACCACTGTCCTAACGTACTTTTTAGAGCGAGTGGGAGGGAGGGAGGAGGGGGGAGAGAAAGAAACATTGATGTGAGAGAGACACATCGATTGGTTGCCTCCCACACACAGCCGGGATGGAACCTGCAACCCAGGTACGTGCCCTTGACCAGGAATTGAACCCTGGACCCTTCCCTCTGCAGGCCAGCGCTCTAACCACTGACCCACGCCGGCCAGGGCTAATCGGTTGTACTTTCTGCTCTCATAAACTACTGCTACTGAACGTCCCACTGTCCAGTGAGATCAGCCCTAACTAGCAGGTCCGTGGTCAGTGAACGTGGCCAAGGTCAGCGCCCGCTCTGGCAGCACGCTCTCTCCACTGTTCCCAGTAAAAACCCCAGGCACCACTGGCGGAGGAGGGATGACCTCACCTCACCCAGCCCTCTCGGCGGCGGCGACCCTCAGTCACCGCCTTTGCCCTCTGACCCCCGAGCACCTGGAAGGTCATGCTGCCGAACCCAGCACCCTGCTCCTTCTCGGCATTTCCGCCTCCCCTCCACCTCCCGGCACACAGAGGGCCTGGGCCAAAGGCTTTCCGTGCTGCTTGCATCAATGCCATCCGGCCGGCGGGGCTCAGTGATGGAGCATCGACCTATGAACCAGGAGATCATGGCTCGATTCCCGGTCAGGACACATGCCAGGTGGCGGGTTCCATCCCCAGGAGGGGGCATGCAGGAGGCAGCCAATCAATGGTTCTCTCTCATCATTGATGTTTCTCTCTCTCTCCCCATCTCCCTTCCTCTCTGAATCAATAAAAATATATCTTTTAAAAATGGTTTTTAGAAGAATCACATCAAAAGCCTTCCTTTAAAGAGAGCAAGGCTGGGCCTGGAGTCTTAAAAGCGCCCGGAGAGCCGAGAGCCGGAGGGAGCCGTCCGCAGCAGCCTGGCAGGGCCTCGGGGCCAGCGCCGTCACCAGTACCAGAGGCACCACTTTGCTTTGAGGTCAGCAGCCCCCCGCGGGCGGCGCCTGGCAGACCACAGGCCTTTCGGAGAGAAAATGGGAGTGTGCCCAGAAAAAGGGAGAGCTGCTGGCCCCCTCAGGCTCCCGGCCAGGCCGAGGCCACGCCCTCCGCAGCACGGCCGCCAGGCCCGGGTACATATATGGTCATGTGGCTGCAGACAGAGCCCCCAGCCTCCTGCACTGACCCTTCCAGCCCAGGGAACGGCCCCGTGCAGGGCTCGGCTCTGCCACCGGGCACGCACATGGTTAACTCCGGGACTGCCTCTGAGCAGAGACTCGAAGATTCCGTCTTTATTTGCGAGGAGGAGGAGCTGCAGGGTTCTGAGCGGGACACCGGCCGGCCTCCACCTTAACGAGGAGCCTCCTTGTCCTTCAGCGGCCAATCGGACCGTCCCCAGACACCCAGCGAGCCCATCCAGAGATAATTCATTCTCCTGCAGCAGCACTTCCCTCGGAGCCTAGAAAGTCACATTCTGCTTTCGTTTTCGGCCAGTCGGTCCCTAAGGACACGGCCAGGAGGCTTTGGGGCTGCTGCTCGTCAGAGACCCAGGAGCTAAACACACGAAAAGATACCCCCGCTGGCCTCGTCACAGACACGGCCGCTAAGTCACCCGTCTCTGAAGCAGGCACCGCGCCCGCAGTTCCTTCTCAGAGTTCCTTCTCCTGCTCTCCGTGCCCCCTGCTCCTCAAGTTCGTCAGAAACCTGACGCTGGCGGGCAGGGATCACTGAGCCCACACCCCTCCTTTTATAGGTAGGAAAGCAAACAAGACAAAAACAAACTCCGAGTGGTTCCTTGGAGGCCACACAGCCAATTAGTGGCCAGAGTTCGGCCACAGGCATTCCAGAAAGCATGGCGGAGGCCTGGGGCCGGGAGGCAGGCAGGGTGATGATTAAAAAGTGCAGGTCAGGCAGCCTGAGGGTGCCCCTCTGCCCGCAGCCCGAACCACAGAAACCAAACAAACACTCTGGGAAACGAGCACAGCCAGTTAGGTCGCCGTCCCTGGGCGAGCAGAGCCTCCCAGTGTGGGAGACACTGCAGAGGCCTTCCCCACCTCAGGGCCCTGACACCCGGGGTGCATCAGGCTTTGCGGTGGGGACACGTCCTGTGTTGCTG